CTAAGCCAAACTAGCCAGGGTCTTGAAGTTATTTATAGTTTTTGGCCATTAAGAATAAAGCTGCTATAAATATTTGAGTATGAGTCTTCAAAGTATATGTTTTTATTTTCTGGGGACTGCTAGGTCATATAAAAAGTACCTATTTAACTTTTTAAACACACTGCCAATGTGTTTTCCGAACAATGGTAATTGTACTATTTTATATTCCCATCAACCGCATATGAGAGTTTCAGTAGCTCCATCTTTGCCAACCCTTGGTACTGACTTAAAACAAAACAAAACAAAACAAAAAATTTGCCATTCTAGAGAGTGTGCTAAGGTATCTCACTGTGGTTTTAATTTGTATTTCCCTGATTACTAATAATTACGAGTACATTTCCAAGTGTTTATTAGCTGTTTTACACAGACTTACCTCTCTCCATTTTTCTCTCCTTTCCTAGATATTGGTCCTTTATGGCTACAAGTCTCCCTATGCCTTATACTTTTCTGATACTTTCAATCAAAATTTTAAAGCATTTAGCCAATCCTTCTAGTTGTTTTCAGGGTTTCAGTGGTCTGAACAAAGTTCCGGGTATTATTAATAAAAGTGTAATTTATTGTTTCTGATTATATAGGGATGAGTCTAATATATTCTATTGAGAATAAGGTTTTCTGATCCTTTCCATGAATTTTTCCTCCTAAAACTGATCTTTCTTTTATTTACATTGCTATTCTCCAATTTCTTTCAATGCTTTGAAGTTTTTTATTTTATTCTCTTTAATAGATTAATTAGAGGCTATGCATTACCCCTAAAAACCTACAAGTATTCAGTGTACTCACAAAATTTGAACTATACAGTATATTTGATACCATGTAATTAAAATTATTTTTTATTACCTTTTTGGTATATTTCAAAATTTGTTATGTAATTTTCCTAGTTATCTTCTTATTGTTTTCTAGTTTCACTTTATTGTGATCAGAGAAAATGATCTAATTGGTTTTAGTCCTTTGAAATTTGCTGAGTTTTCTTTTCCTTTTTTTTAATGACCTGGTATTTGGTCAGATTTTGTACATGTTTAGAATGTGCTTGAAAGGAAATCCTATTCTTCAGTTATTCAGTACAACATTCCATGAAGGCAAATTAAGTCTATTTTTTAATTACATTGTTCAGAAGACCAAGAGTCAATAGTTTTGTTTGTCCATACGGTAGTTTGTACTGTATCAGCTTGGTTAAGCTGGAGCTCCTTTTCCAAGTAGTCTTTCTTATATGGTGTCAGGTCAGATTTGCAAGAGCAAGACAGAAGGGAAGTAGCAGCTATTTCTCTCTGAAGGAGGCCAGATACAGTGATTGACACACAGAAAGAGAACCATCCAGTGGGCTCCTGCTTGATCTCACTGTTTTCCAGTCCACACCCAGGCTCCCTGACCAGCAGTGGCCCGAAGCCCGAGTGTGAAGTGTGGCTGCAGACTCACAGCAGTAGCCTTACAGAAGCAACGGCTTCCCATAGGCTTCTTCAATAGCTTTCCTTCCCAGACCCACGTCAGCTCTTGAACTCCCGTGTGTGCTGCGATTTGTCCACCTACTGCAGCAGAGCGGACGGTATCTGTTCTCGGACCCTCCAGGTCTCCCTTCCGACCATTACTTCCCGGTTCCTTCCACAATTTCAAAAGACCTCTCTTCTATAACAAATCCTTTATTCTACAATATTTGTAGTCGCTTCTATTGTCCCGATAAAACCTGTCTAAAAATCTGTTTGGTCTTTCACACACTTAGAATGGCATGTATTCACTTTGGTTTCTGGCTGGTATATGCTTTTCTTTTCTTGAATATATTGATAAAAGCAAACACATTTTTCTCTTATCCTCCCCCCCCCCTTTTTTTTTACTAAGTAGAAACTACGGGTTTAGGGCTCATAGGGTGTAAGATTTCAATTACTTCTGCACTCTGCAGAATTAGAGGGCTTCTACAAATTTGGAAATCCCGAGTCTACATGACTTGGTATACTTCCCTAATGGGTTGGAATGGTAAGTGCATGTTTCACATTATTACAAAAAATGTTTGAGGGTAGGGAATTTGGCATTTTTATGAAATTCTCATCAGCCTTAAGCCCCCAAAAGATAACCCTGAAGATTTTTTTTTAGGTTCTCAAGTATATTTTTATGACAAATGGCTCACACACCTACTATAGGTATTACAGAATATGGTTTTGTGAACCAATGTCATCCCAATAAATTCAATTAAAAAATATACTAGCAAATTATAACACTATGTTCAGCCTAATGTTTTTCAGTAAATGCAACTCAGTTATTCTGTAACCCTGAAGATTTTTCCAAGGTTCCTTGCCCAGAGTTCCTTTAGCTGCTAGCGAGCTAGGGTGGGACCAAGGGATGTACATTTCTCACAAGTAGTCCAGAGAAGTCCAACAAAAGTGGCTGTGGATTTCTTTTGGGGAAAGACAAAATTAGAAAAAATTTCAGAAAGTATCCCAACATACTATTTATGTCCCTGGGCCTTTCTATTCACCTACATCACCTCACAAAATAGAAAAAATAAAGAGGCAAAAAAAAAAACAGCCACCATCTCCAATTTTTCTGGGCCATCTGACCTGTTTCAAAGAATTTGCATCTCTCAATGTAACAAACATGCAATTTTGTGAATTACACATGTTGTATGTAATGCATTTTAATGTTTCTAAACAAAAAAAAAATTACTAAAAACCCTCTTGGAACACTCAAATTCAGAAAAATCTTATCAACATTTTACTGTAAGAACAAACTGAGTTCGTGTCAAAATATAGTTTCAAAGTATAACTTTAGTCACTGAGTGAATGTGAATCTCCTAAGAGTTGTTCCTTAGGAGCAACTTCCCTGTGTACTTGCATCCTCACTTCCCCATGTACACGTTGTGCACACACAAATTGAAAGAATGAAAAGTAAAAAACAGAACTTATTATTATTATTATTGGTCGACAGCATGGCCTATATTCACTCATAGGAAAGACATACCCAGTCAAATATTTGGGGGGGGGGGGATGAAAGCAGGGGTCTCACACACATTGAACCACACTATTTATAAAAAAATATTACCATGAATATTTACATAATACTGGAATAACTCCTTCTTCCTCTGTCCCTCTCCTCTTCACTCCCTCTTCTCCTTGGTAACTTGCTTAATGGCTTACATAAAAGAAGAAGGTTAAATCCAGGAGGAGTTATGAGATAACAGCAAAAATAAGACAGCATTCCATTTAATTAAGATTCTCCCTTCTTGATGGATTACTCTAAATGTTTTGAAATGGATTCTGTTTCTTATGTTCTAAGTTAAACTGATGAAAGCAAGGATTAGAGATGACATTTGAGAAGAGTTCTGTATTTTTCAGCATTTGCACCTTAAAATGATTTCAAATAAAATCTCAAATGTTTCCTGGAACATTCCAGGAAAACTAACTATGGGTTTGATTGGATGATAAAAACACCTGTCATACTGATACATATCAACATACACTTAATAGGCATGTGGTCTTACTTCAGCCCTCCCGTAATAACCAACAGGTTTAATTAGATAAGACAAATCTATCTGAATCAATTCTGCTTCAGACTTGGGTTAGCAAGCTTTTAAGAAAGTGATGAATACTTGTAATTCATTTTAAAATCTGTGAAACTAGGAGAAACTTCTTGGTAGAACACTGAAACATAACTACAAATTATCAATAACATTTTATTTTTATTTATTTATTTATTTTTTATCCTCACCCGAGGACATTTTTCCATTTTTTTTTTTTTTTTTGTACAGACAGAGTGGGAGGGAGAGAGAGGAAGAGAGAGAGAGAGGGAAACATCGATGTGAAAGGGACACATCGAGTGGCTGCCACCCGCACGACCAACCAGGGCCGGGGACAAACTGCAACCGAGGTACATGCCCTTAGCGGGAACCGAACCCGGGTCTCTCAGGACCGCAGGCCAACGCTCTAACCGCTGAGCCAAACCGGCCAGGGCTATCAATAACATTTTAAAAGAAAAATATATACCAATCACAAGAATGATTTCTTTTAAAAACTACTATTTCCTCTCGTCCATACATTCTAGAAATCCAACACTTGAGCTGGTTTAGGATTGCAAAGTACAGACAACTCTGTGAGGTAAATATGTCTTTCTTACAACCTAGCTCTATAAATACAGTTAGGCCATAAAAATGAAAAGCTGTAAGAAACCGATTTCCACATTCTGATGTTTATTAGCACCAGGAAGGAAGCAGTAAGAGCTGTGTACAATGTATAACATCACAGTAATGCAGTTTGTTTGTTGTTTGTTTTTGCAGTTATCTTCAGATGGAGCGGGAGGGAGAAAAGAAGGAAGAGAAAGAGAAACATCGATGTGAGAGAGACACATCGAGTGGTTGCCACCCACACGACCTCAACCAGGGCCGGGGACAAACTGCAACCAAGGTACGTGCCCTTAGCGGGAACCGAACCCAGGACTCTCTGGTCTGTGGGCCGACGCTCTAACCGTTGAGCCAAGCCAGCCAGGACAGTAATGCAGTTTTATTTAATAAGCTGAACATACTGCATCTTTGGCTTGTTTCATAGTAACACTGACTGGTTTTCTCAAGCAAGAAATATATCTCCGCCACATATGAAATCATGCTTCAATAATGAGATCATTTCAAATTTTGCAAAAACGTTCATAAAATCTACCCAGTGGATGACAAATCATTACTGCCAATATTGGGATAATTGTCTCATGGTTTCATAAAGTTCATAATCTTCAGGTCTAAATGCTTAATATTGATAATTAGTTAATACTACCTGCTATATACTTAATACTGACAATTCCACAAAAATAATGAAATACTACTTCAAAAAACATTTTTATGATAAAGTTTCTTCCTTCATGTGCAATTAAAAAACACTATTCTTTTGGAACTTAAGTGTAATTTAAAACTAGAGATTCAAGTATTATATAATCGAGTTTATCTCTCACTCTATCATTTTATTTATATATAAAATTATATACATGGCATTTTTAAGGGAAAGAAGAATAAGAATTAGCATACATGTGTAATAGACCTAAGTATATGAGAAATATTCAACTTTTTTTTTTTAACTTAGCTATCAAATCCACCACCTCATTCTTACTTAGTTGATCGACTTCTGGTGTTTAACTCTGTGATTGATGTGAAACCAACAATTTCTCTAAAGCAGGCTTACATTTCAGATGCTACATCACATCAGATCAACAGCCAACCATACCACTGTGCATCAGAGACATAGGGACAAGGCATGGAGCATCGTATAAAGGGATGAATCAATACAAAAGATTATAAACACATTAAAAGATTGGAAGTTGTTTTAAACAACGACAAAAAAAAAATCAAATTTCATAAACAACCTGTACCTAACTTACAGAAATAGCTAATGCTCAAACAAGCTTCATGATGCAAAAAAGGCACTGTGGAAGACAAATAATTTTTTAAAATAATTCAACAATTTTTATATTAAGGTCAATAAGTTAATCAATATACACTGTCTTGCATTTCTTAACTGCTAAGACTAGACATTTAGGGCTCTAAAATATCTTTCATTTACTTGAAGTCCTTAAGCAATCTCAGAACTTCTTAATGCTCTTTTCCAGATAAGATAACTCAGTTTTCAACCTATTTTTACCAAAACATTATCTCTAAAGAAGTGAGTTGTTAGTCCTTTGTTGAAACACACATGTTCGGTCTCCTGAAAAATCAATTTTGCATTTACCTGGAGAGACTATCTGGGATTCTGATGGAAGCGTAACTCATTCAGGACACTTTCAGAAACACACCCTCGCCATGATATTTACCCGATATGTTTAAAATGTGAGGTTTTTTTTTATGTCATCTGATTTTGGGTTTTTATTTGCATAGTCTAAAATGGCAGGATAAATGTGGCCCTTTAGGGCCCTTCACTTCTTTTCTTTTTGTGCCAACATTTTTCTTGATGGGAAAGAGACGTAAAACCAGCCAGCAGAAGACCATGGGAATGTGCAGGTGCATGGGGCTCTGGGGCAGCCTGAGGCCAATGTTGGATTATAAACTGCAACAGTCCATGATTTTCTCTATTTTGATTCCACATGCACTTTAAACAATTATTTACAGAATCCCAGAAAACAATATCTAAGGGGGGGGCCCAGCCATGGAGCAGACAAGTGGTACTCTTCCGACCTCACAAAGTTGGCCTCTGCAAAACTTTACAAAAACTTTGAGTTGAAAAAAGAAAAACGAAGAAGAAGGAGACAGGGTAAAACTGACGCCTGGCTTCTGGCCTCTGGCCCTAACCCAGGGCAAATGGAAGCCGGCAGGCTCCCAGCTCCTCACTCGTCTTGATGACTAGACCGCTCAGTTAGCCAGCTGCACTTTGTTCTCCCGAAGTATGACTTCCTTGGCAAATTCACTAGAATCAACCATCAAGTTCTCTTTTAATTTTTTAAGCTCAAAGTCATGGATAATCTTGACTGTCATTAGCTTTTCTCGCTTGATTCTCTCCAGAACATCTTTCGGAACATCGGGGATCATCCAAGCCAACAAAAATTTAACCAAAAACACAATGTGCTAGAGAAAACATAAAAAACAAAACAAAACACTGTTAGAATTGTCAAATGTTCAGCAGGAAGCTCTTACAAATCATTTCATTCATTCAGTAAACTCTGCTCAATGCAGGAGGTACAAGGGAAATAAAATAAAAAAGATATGGTCCCTGTCCTGGAACTTTCCTACAAAGACCAACAGTAAACAAATAAACATATTCTAAAATATGGAATACAGAATCTGAAGTTGAACATGGTTACTGAATATACTCTTTACCTATGCTCCCTCTTGAAAACCTTAAAAGTATTTGAAAATGAATTTTAAAAAATGATGTAACTCACAAAGACAAAAAGAAAAGGGAGGGAACAGTGATCAGACCCCAGAATAAAGAAAGCAGGCACTTAAACTGGCAATTGGTGATATAGTGATGGTAGAAACCAATAATACAAAAGCCAGTTAGTTTTAGATCACCAGAAAAGCTCAGGAAAGGAAGTACTAAGGGCTTTGAAGGTATAAGTGTGGATGGAGTTGAAAACAAGAGGATTAATTAAAATTTTGTATAAGGAGCAGTTGAATTTCCAGAACCTCTCTACCATCTGCATCCAGGAATTACTTCTCTCTAACCTTACCCTGGAAGCAACGGAAATTAAAACAGAAATCCGTGAACTCACAGACACCAGAAATCGTGAAGGGTGGAGATATGGCATTGTTGAAAACAGGGTAACTAAGTGAAATTCAGCAGACTGAGTTCTGAGAGCCCCTAGTTCCTTCTGCCTCGCTCAGCTGTCAGAACACAGGTGGCCATGAAGTAACTCAACAAACAGGAGGTTGGAGGATTTCTCCTCTGGGGAATATATTCTGTGAAATTAGAACTACAGATATCAAAATTCTGTAGTAAAAGGTCCCCTCACTACCTTATCACACTACAGTGAAACCCACCAAGCAACATTTCTCATGTATGCACACAGAGCGTATAATCAGCTCACACTGCTGCACTGTTTTTAAAAAATAGGTTTTTACTGATTTCGAAAGAGAGGGGAAGAGAGAGAGAGAGATAGAAACATTGATGTGAGAGAAACATCAATCGGCTGCTTCCTGCACGCCCCCTACTGGGGATCGAGCCTGAAACCCGGGCGTGTGCCCTGCTCTGAAATCGAACCAGGAGCTCTCAGTCCCTGGGACGACGCTCAATCCACTGAGCCACACAGGCCGGGCTCATTGCTTCACTTCTAAATATGAGACAATTACTAAGAACCACCAAGCATGTAAGCAAATATCTAACGTGAAAGAAAAAGACCAAACACAAAAACAGGAACTTACAGGAAGCAGAGTAATGAATGGAACGAAAGAATAGTAGACTAAAGGTACAAAGATATAAATTCATCTATTTATAGGAAAGAAAAAAATGATAATTAAAATTACAAAACAGGAAGTGTGACATCTGAATAACAGAAGTCTCAGAAAGATAGAACAGAGAAAAAAAAGAAATTATCAAAGAAACAAGACAAGTAAATTTTCTCAACTTGAAGGGTAAATATATTTTTTTCCAATTTTTAAAAGATTTTTTATTTTATTTCATTTTTTTCATCGTCATTTATCACCTTGAAGGGTAAATATGTTTAAGACCCACAGGGTTTAGGGAATGTCCAGAACAATAAATAGGGTCCAATATAAAGGAACTGTCTTATGAAATTTCATAAAAGAAAGACTATTGAGAGATTTCTCAGAGATTATTGACATATAAAAAGATCATAAAGACTGAGGAATCAGAATGATACTGCATTTTATAGCAACACTGGAAGCTGACAAAATGAATTTGGTTGAAAAAGTTTCAGGGAAAATGACTTTCAATCTTGAGTGGTATACCAATTAATCATCTATAAGGAAAGAAAATAAGTTTTTAATATGCAAGTTTTCAAAAACTGATGGCCCATAATTTTCCTGAGCAAATTACTGAAAGATGTGCTTCATTAAAATAAGCTAGCAACCCAAAAATGGGAGAAACTTAGATTGCAGAAAATACAATATTTAATTTAATTAAGAGAAGATGAAGAGAAGTCCCCATAAGATGGTGAGTCAGAGCCTGTGATGATTAAGAAAATTAGTAAGAATAATGAATAAAAAACAAAAACAAAAAAAATCAGAATCCTAGTGCAATTTACCAGACCAAAAGGTGTTCAAAACTATGAGAATAAAAGAGTGAAAAATTCATAAAGAACTGAGAGAGAGAGAAAAACATGCAGAGCAATATTATATAAGACGGCTCTCTTTTTTTTATCATGTAAAATTATTTGACTTTTTAAATTACTTACATGTATACAAAATAAAGAAAAACTGATTAAACTTTGTGTGTGCTTGATTAGACCTTTCCATTATTGGAATTCACTGCAGAGTGAAGAAGAGACTTACACTGACTTGTCTCTCCCTTACTGGCTTTCATGCTTTATGATTTGTAGCAGTCAGGTTCTGTCTTAGTCAAATACCACCTCTGTATTTGTTCTTCTTTTATTACACATCTTGTATCTATAACTGTGCTAGAAAGTCCACCAGGGAGAAACATAGTATAGTGGACAGAGCAGAGGCTGGGAGTGAGACATCGATCATTAAAATCCAGGTTTCATATGAGCTGATTATCTTTAAACCAAATACCTCACTTTGCTAAGTCTCAGATTCATGTTTCAAGGATGAATAATAAATTCTAACTTATAATTATTATAGCCTCTGGAACTGATATATAAAGGTATTCAGTGAAGCTGGTGGGCCCTCTACCCTTTTTCTGACCCTCAAGGTATGTGGCTATGTTTCCTCTTTTCTTGCACCTTGATATTTTCAGCAACAGTAAGTGAATAATAGGCAATCATTATACAGAAATTATCTCTAAGTTGCTTTTTATGACAACAAATATGTCAAAACAATTTATTGAGATAATGCTCATTTTACTCTGAGCTGATACTTTTAGAAACACGTGACTAAAGGGAGCAGAGAGACTGCCAGGGGTGAATGTTAAGAAGGGCTTACCTCCATGACTATGATGAAGGTCATTTTGGCAGCGAGGACATGCCAGAACTGCATATTATGAAAGTATTTTTGTTCGTGATCAGGAGGGTTTCTGTAATCTCTATACCTGAAAAATAAAAATACAAAAAAAATTAGCTACGGCTTCAAATAGAGGGAACTAGAATACATTCTTATTACTCCTTTTAAGAGATCTTTTTTATTGACCTCAGAAATCAAGTCACAGAAAGATAATTACTACCATGAAACAGTTATCTTTCTTGTACAGATAAAAATCATGGCCAAATGTTGCTTATGCTGCTATAGCGGTGGCAGGAGACACAAGTGAAACTTCTCTCTGACCACTGGGATACAGTTTGCCACTTCTGTTCCCTTTCTTCCTATCCTTTCGCACAGTTAGTTCTCCCCATCGACCCAGTGACAAAATTGTGTCCTGCCATTAAATTGAAGGGGTTTTAATCCTCATCTTATTGGATCTTTCAAGAATAAAACTGAACATTGTTGGCCATTTCTACTTTCTTGAAGTTCTATTTTCTCTTGGCTTATCTGAAACTGCATTGTATTGTTTGGTATTTTCCTTACTATCCTTTTGGAGTGTTCTTAGCACTCAACTTTGTGAGCTCATTGTTTTCCACAAAGTTGCTAGAGGTTGATGTGCTTCAAAGTTTTAATCCAGTGATGACATCAAGAAATATGACACAAGTGTCTGTGCTCTTAAAAACTATGCTATGATTTCCTCTAGATGTAAATACAAAACATTAACAGTGCTTCTGTCTACCTGTATTGTAACATTTTGCTGTTTCTTTGTTGGAAAACAAGGTGAAACAACTGGTTTAAGATTTAAGTGAAGGGGCCTTGATGTTCTTTCTTTTCTTTTCTTTTTTTCTTTCTTTCTTTTTTTTTCTTTCTTTCTTTTTTTCTTTCTTTCTTTCTTTCTCTCTCTCTCTCTCTCTTTCTTTCTTTCTTTCTTTCTATCATCTATCAAAATAATTAGTACTTATATACATTAAATCCTAGAGTAGTAAGATCCTTACAGGACATGAGACATTAAGTGTGGAAAGAGTAGGTTTATAAATCCAACTTCACACTCACTGCATAAATGAAACTCTTTAAGTGGGATGGATGGTAAGCTAATCATATTTTTACTTTTTTTTCCAGTCTATCTTTTTTTGAGGACATATAATTAAGTTCAAATAGATTAAATGCACATATAATACACTTATGCTGTATAGTCTATAGATATTAAAACTTGGAATCAAGGGGCATTTGTTGGTGAGAAATCTTTCCAATAAATTTAGAAAATAAAAAACAATTCAAACTTGACATTCTCTTTGCCCATAATATTCTCTTAGAGACATTCTACATTTCTAAATCAGAATTATACAATGTGTGAATTTTAGAATTGATGCACTTGATTTACCCAGGATTTTTAATGCCCCAAGTAAATCCTTCACATTTTAAGGCATGAAGGAAATAGAGAAGTTAAGACATACACTTAGTGGGCATAATTAAAGCCTAAGAAAACAAGAAGAAACCTGCATGTGGTGAAGTCTCGTTTTTCTGAAGGTGCAGTGTTGTTCGGTAAATCAGCTACCAGGAACATTGACAGGCTGTTATTGACATATCCTTTAAACGGATCAGTAGCATTTGTTGAGTAAGCATAGTAGTAAACTAAACGGGGAATGATGTCCGATGTATATGCAACAATGAAAGCCTAAAGGATAAAGCAAGAGGAAGATCATGAGCTAGCAATCTAGTATTAACAATGTCTTATTTGTGCTCTGGCTGGTGTGGCTCAGTTGGTTGGGCATTGTCCCATGCACCAAGGGGTTGCTGGTTCGATTCTTGGTCAGGGCACACGTTTGGGTTGTGGGCTCAATCCCTGGTTGGGGGCGTGCAAGAAACAGCCAATCAATGTTTCTCTCACATTGATGTTTCTCTCTCTCTCTCCCTCTCCTTTCCTTTCTCTCTAGAAATCAATTTTTAAAAATATTTTAAAAAATGTCTGAGTTGTATCTCCCTCACTTCCATGTGCCATATGGATGCAAAGTGATTAAAATCCTATTATAAATCATGTTAATATTTGAATCTTTAGCCTAAAATATGAAATACCTCATTTACAGTATATAACTAGTAGTCCCAAGATTTCATAACTAGAAAGTCACTAAGTTGAAAATTGAACCTAAGTGTATCTGTCTCCAAAATCCATGTTCTTTCCACATTGCCTTTCTATTCCCTACAGTTCTTATTGTTTCAATGTGCAGTTCCACTGTTCTTAACCAAATTCATTTGCCTGAACCAACTCCCAACTCCATAAGCTAGGACAGAGTGTGTGTGTGTGTGTGTATGTGTGTGTGTGTGTAGGAGGTTGGTGGGGAAGGAATGGAGAGATACAAGACCATGAGCTGGTAAATTTTCCACAGTTCAGTGCAATTAATATCAGTATTTTATATTATAGGAATGGTATTTTTCCACCTTTCCCTAAGCTTCAAATAGCATAAATATCATGCTTCCTTTAGATTAGATAAGTCAATTAGGCCACGTGGCTCTGATATCAACATTTTTAGTGGCAGATTTTTTTTTTAATCCTCACCCGAGGACATTTTTGCATTTATCTTCAGATAGAGCGGGAGGGAGAGAGGGAAGAGAGAGAGAGAAACATCGATGTGAGAGAAACACATCGAGTGGCTGCCACCCACACGACCCCAACCAGGGCGGTGGACAAACTGCAACCAAGGTACGTGCCCTTAGCGGGAACCGAACCCGGGCCTCTCTGGTCCACAGGCCGATGCTCTAACTGCTACTGACTAGGGCTTTAGTGGTAGATTTTTATTTTTATTTTTTATTTATTTATTTTTTTTAATCCTCATCCGAGGACATTTTTCCATTTTTTTGTACAGACAGAGTGGGAGGAAGAGAGAGAGAGGGAAACATCGATGTGAAAGGGACACATCGAGTGGCTGCCACCCGCACGACCAACCAGGGCCGGGGACAAACTGCAACCGAGGTACATGCCCTTAGCGGGAACCGAACCAGGGCCTCTCCGGACCGCAGGCGGACGCTCTAACCGCTGAGCCAAACCGGCCAGGGCATAGTGGTAGATTTTTAAAAACCTTTTAATATTACTTCTATAGCTACTGGTCCATTCAGGTATTTGATCACTGAATACATTTTGGCAGTTCTTACTTTCTAAAAAAGTAATAATTTCAAATATCAAAATATATTCTAATAAATATATACATAACAGTCTCTCAATTTTCTCACCTATACCTTTTAACTCTTTTTCTCATTTGAGATTTTTGGAGCTTTGCTTATTCTATTTATTTTTTTCAGTGAGCCAATTCTTGATTTAACTAGCAATTATATTGCTTTTTTTTGTTTGTTTTGTAATTTGATATTTCTATTTATAACTTTATTAATTCTCTCACTACTTTGTATTGATTAGCTTTATGTTCTTCCTTAGTTTCTTAAATTACATACTCAGCTCATGCTTCCCAGTATTCTTTTGAAATAATACGATCATTTATTTATTTATTTATTTATCCTCACCCAAGGATATGCTTATTGATTTTGAGAGAGAGAAAGAGAAACATCGATTGGTTCTCTCCTAACACATCCTGACCGAGGATCGAACCCATGACCTAGGTATGTGCCCTGACTGGGTATGGAACTCCCAACCTTTATGGTGTACTGGGCAATGCGCCAATCAACAGAGCCACCTGGCCAGGGCAAATATTTACTGCTATAAATTTTTGTACCTGTGATTTTAGCTGATTCTCTTATGTTTTCATTTTAACAAATGCTCTTACAATTTCATTTACTCTTTACATAATACAGTTAGTTAACTTGGAAGTGTGAATTTTAATTTTTTGTTTTTTTCTTTACTATCTTATTATCAACTTAATTTTCATAATATTATTTAAGTGAATATAGTCATTGTAAATTTTATGCTTTGGGGAATTATTTTTAATTCTCAGCCACGGATATTTTTATTGGTTTTTAGAGGGGGGGAGATTGACATTGATGTGAGAGAGAAACCCGACTGGGCCCTGACCAGGAATCGAACCATAAACTTCCGTGTATGGGATGATGCTCCAACGAACTGAGACACTAGGCCAGGGTGGAGTAATTTATTTTATTTTTATTTTTTATTAAGTGCTCCATAGACATAACAGGTAAATATGGTGTAGTGTCTATTTGTAGTACACAACTTTACATATAATCGAAATGTAATCGTATTATGCAAATCCTTTATATCATTACTTGTTTACTGTCTACTTTGTAATGTGCTATGAAGCAATATTGTGGTATTTTAATGAGAGCAATTTTACAATTTTCCTTGTATATTTAAGAGTTGCCATGTCACAGATTTCTCTGTTATTTACTGCATAAAAATGTTGGGATGTTTTACCTTTATGGACTGTCACCAGGTGAAATCCATGCAAATGAAGATGGAGCTAAGCATCATTCACATCTCCCCATCCCCAAGAAAACAAAATACAAAATCACCGAAAATAGGTCCACTTACATTAGTTGCAACAGAGAGGACAGCCATTGCATAAAGAATGTCTTGCCAAACACCTATGCAATGAGCTTTGGCAGCTACCGGTCTCCTGTACTGAGTAGTAAGTTTCCAGGCATCCACTCGGATCTCTATAATATTATTCATGAGAGCAAGAAGAGGAGCCAAAGGAAAAGAGGCCACAAATAATGTAACAAATCCAAATTGGATAACTGTAGGGAAAAAACAAAAATTTGTGAACTCCTTATTGTGGAGGGAAAAAGAGGGAACATTCTGCCTGACTCCTGCCACTTCCTGATTTTGGCAGGATCTACACTGGTGAAACAACCGAGTCTCTCCATCTGCCCCCTTCCTCCTCCCTACAAGAAGCATGCTGGCTTATTGCTTACTAAAATAGAAGGAGACACAGGGCATGCATAGCTCAGCTGTGTCCTCGGTCCTCGTTATTTTTTTTGAGATCTGCTTATCTAAAGAAAGCATCTATTCTTATTAGATAAGACATTCTGCTTAAAACATAGTCTTTTATTAAAGTTTACGTTTAGGGGTCTATGCCAGTCCAGCCTTTACAATGGTACTGCCACAGCAGTGGGGTAATCATTTCTCTGTCTTGCTAACCTGAGTACTTTGCGAGATCAGGAATAATGACTGATTCATTTGTATGCTTCCAATAGCCAGCGTGTGCTGGGTATATAAAAGGACTTAACTATAAGCCTTATAAATGAATGCATTATTTAATATTTGAAGAAGCCAATATATAAAAAGGCAGTGCAAAACAAGATATTTGACAGTAAAGCATAAAATGAATTATCTAAAGCATCAGAAATATATATGAATTATATGTGAGCAGAGGTAACACATTATCTGGAAAAGAAGTATTTGTTAGGGTCCTGATCTTTTGTGATATCTTGGTTTCTTTCCAAATAAGTTTTACTCTTCTCATAAAGACTTAACACCTGGTAAGCTAACTTCTCTCCCCATTTTTGCTTTGTTTGTTTGTTTCCAACAATGCTTGGAATAAAAAAATACATGCAACTAGCAATCTGGGCTTCCTACATGAGTAAAAATAAATAATAAGAGATGTAAGAATGACTTTCCATTGAAGGAAGAACGAATCTCCCATTAGTCCTCTATTTTTAGATGTTTCTTGAGTATTTCTGGATTTCAGCTTCTCTTTTAAGATTCTCTCATAAAAATCAGGCTTGTCATCTACTAAACCAGGTGAATAAATTGCCTCATTTCCTGCCTTCCCTACTGACCCCCAAAAATAAGAAATTAAGAGGAAGTAGTACATAGAAACAGCTTAAATTTTCCATGTTCAAATTCTACATCTTTACTTAAAATCTTTGTGAACTGTGGAAAATTAATTAAACTATCCACATTTTAGTATCCTTTAAAATAAAATGTAGTGAATAATGACTACTCTGTAGAGTGTTTCAAGATTAGAGATCCTCTGTGTAATATATCTAGAATAATTCAGTGGTGTCACAATAAATGGTAATCTTGCGAAACCTTGACTTTATCTTTTAATTTGAGTGATAATCTCTAATAAATAGACTTCTTTCTGTTTGTCCTAAATTTGCCTATTTCAACCCAGGTATCACATGTATGTACTACAGTGGAGAATCAGTAACAACTGCAGGCCATCTCATCCATTCCACTGTGATTTTATGGGCCTTAAGAATAAGAACTGTCCCCCTTGATTTCACCGAGAAGCAGGAAAATGTCACTGGAAGGAAACTGAGTAGAGTATACAGGGCAGTGTCCACCATTTTCTCTCCTAAAATTTCACCTCCAGATCTCTTCTCTGTTCAACTCTTAGACTATGTTATACACTTGTTGCGTTCAGTTAGGGTTTCCTTTGAATAACTGCTGTTAGCCTTCTTCTTTTCAGCATGAAATATAGGAAAAACTAAATGTATGCCAGTCGCTGGAAATGTTTTTCAACTTATTCTCTCTCCGAGCTGTCACAAAAGGAGAGAGAGCTATTTAAGCTAATCCGAGCCAGGTATTAAAAAGTAAACTTCAGCCCTGGCCAGTTTGGCTCAGCGGTTAAAGCATCGGCCTGCGGTCCGGAGAGACCCGGGTTCGGTTCCCGCTAAGGGCACGTACTTCGGTTGCAGTTTGTCCCCGGCCCTGGTTGGTCGTGCGGGTGGCAGCCACTCGATGTGTCCCTTCACGTCGATGTTTCTCTCTCTCTCTCTCTTCCTCTCTCTCCCTCCCACTCTATCCGTACAAAAAATGGAAAAATATCCTCGGGTGAGGATAAAAAAAAAAAAAAAAAGTAAACTTCATTTTATTTTGTTCAATATTAACAATCAATTGATAGAAAAAATATATCTAAGATTGCTATTTTGAAACTAAATTTCAATCTACATTCTATTGGGTAGGTAAAGTCAATATTGAACCAAACTTTCCTATATTCATCCATCAATCTTCTCATCCCCTGTCCAATGATTCCAAGGCAGGAAGAAATACTAAGAGCAGGAAAAGAAACACTTATTTTACTCAGCCTTACGCTGTGTTTCAAGACAAGTGGTTGAAAATTACCTGTCTCTAAGTATTCATAAAATAGCCCAAGAGATCCAAAAGTTTCAAGGTCATGATCCTGCTCCCATCGACTATATAACTTTTCAGAGTTAGTCCGAGCTTTTCGGCGTCTCCACCAATTCAGAGTCAAGCTGTTGGAAGTGACAGAAGTAAACACATTAAATAGAGTCTTTAAAAAGGGTTACAGAGCCCAGCAAGTGTGACTCAGTGGTTGAGCATCGACCCATGCACCAAGAGGTCACCGGTTCGATTCCTGGTCAGGGCACATGCCCAGGTTGTGGGCCCGATCCCCGGGGGGAGGGAGGGGCATGCAGGAGGCGGCCAATCGATGTTCTCTCTCTTTTATTGATGTTTCTATCTCTCTCTTCCTCTCCCTTCCTCTCTCTCTAAAAATCAATAAAGAAAAAAAATTAAAAAGGGTTACAGGATCAGAATGTTAGGTCTAGAAACTGGCAGTAAGAGAGGCTAAGTTACTTAAGATCACAGAGCAAGTAGAGCTAAACTCCGAATCAAAATCTAGTGGTCTTTACACAACACGTGCCAAGGTCAGAAGTTCTTCATCGGGGTGATTAAGAAAATATAACAACCCTGAATCTCCCCATAGAAATATATTTACCCAGACACAGTTCTGTTAAAGAGCTTGTGGAAAACAGGGTCACCACAGGATCATTTTTTCTATTTAACTAACCTTTATGTTGTATTGATACTAAGGAAACTCAAGAAAATGAGAAATTGGTTATAAAAGAAAATGCGTGACAATGGAAATGCAGAGGCTTATCTAACACATAAAAAAAAAAAATTGCAAGGATCTTAAACAAAATATTACCTAACTAAATTTCATTTTATATAAAAATAACATATCATGCCCTGGCCGGTTTCACTCAGTGGTTAAAGCATTGGCCCACGGACCAGAGAGTCCCGGGTTCGGTTCCTGCTAAGGGCAAGTACCTCAGTTGTAGTTTGTCCCCAGCCCTGGTTGAGGTTGTGTGGGTGGCAACTACTCAATGTGTCTCTCTCACATCGATGGTTCTCTCTTTCTCTTCCTCCCTCTCTCCCTCCTGTTCTATCTGAAGATAAATGCAAAAAAAGTCCTCAGGTGAGGATAAAAAAAATAATAATAAAAAAAATAAAAATAACATATGATAATGTTGGGTTAATTTAAGAAACAGAATGTTTTTTATTTTATTAGAAAATCACTAGTGTAATAAACCACATCAATAGATTTAAGGAGAAAATATAAAATCATGTCAATTATTGCAAAAAGTATACTTGATATATTTCAAGCTCCTATTTATGACAAAAAGGTAGAAAAACAAGGAAATTGCATCAATCTGATCACAAGCATCTACCAAAATTTTGGGCGAACATATTCTTAATAGGGAAAAATTAGAAACATTCCCTTCAAATCCAAGTACAAAATAAGAGTGCGCACGGTCACATTTAAGGCTCTACTAGAGATCATAACAAGCACAACAGAAAAAGAAAAAAAAAAAAGAAAATAAAGGCATAATACATTATTATTAACAATAATGTGATCTGATTGTCTGATAGAAAATCCAAATGGAGGTAGACAAATTGTAAGAATTAACCAGTAGAATATATTAATATATTCATTCCTATATACCTATAAAACTCAGGCATAAAACCACAATTTTAAAAAGATGCCATTTATAACAGCAACTAAAAAGAATATAGTACTTAGAATTAGATTTGACAAAAAAAATGTATGTAACCTATATGCAGAAGTTTAAATCTTTACTTAAAGTCATTAACATGCAAAATAAATGTTCATAAATAAAAACACTTGCCACTATAAAAATGGCAGTTGTTTTTATTAAAACAATTGCAATTCAATTTTACTGAAAAACATGTAATTTTAATTTAAAAAATCAAAATATTTTTCATGTCAAATCTGACAAGGTGTTGCTAAAATTTACACAGAAAGACAAAAGACCACAGATAACCAAGATACTTTTATAGATGAAGAATGAGTTGGTAAAAACCTATCCTACTAGGTATCAAGATTTATTATAAAGCAATACTAAGAGAGTGTAGTACTGGTACAGGAACAGTCAAATCATGGAACAGAAGGAAGATCTAGTAATAGCTTTGATCTTTTTACATGGCATAAATGGTATTACAAATACCAGGAGAATAGGGAAAAGGAACTTCTCGATAAATGGTAACAAATTTTTTATTTTTATTTTTAAGTATCAATTTTATATTTTCCTCATTGATGCAGATGATAAGCTCACTGTAACATTAAGTCTTGAAAAGTAAACAAATAAAAAAAAATCAGAAAGCAAAACCAACCTCAAACAAAACATTCAAGCATGACAAAATTTTGTCAACAATCTAAGCTTAGAAATTTAAGAGGCTTGGAAGAAGAATAAAATATTCTACTTTCGTTAGGTCTGTCTTTGGACTTCATTAAGATGATTTGGTAGAACATTTTTTTGTTGTAAGCTGATGGTTACATAGAGGGTATAGGGAGACACAAAGAGGAACCTAGCTCATTGGGAAAGAGAATGTTACTGATAAAGGGAGGAGGTAGGTGTGTGTGTGTGTGTGTATGTGTAAGAAATTAAATTTGAACTTCATATCAAACACAAAATCTTTTCCATATATATTAAAAATTTAAAAGAGAAAGATGATGTTTAAATTAAGAAATAAGCATGTTAAAATATATTTTTGATCTTGGGGTAGGGAAGGATTTATTAAATAAGACAAAAAATGCTAACCCATAAAAGAAAAAAGTAATCAATTATACTATATTAAAAGTATGTACTTTGTGAACCACTATGGCAGTGGTTCCCAAATGGGAGTGATTTAGCCCACAAGGGTACATTTGCAGTATCTGGAGAACACTTTTGTATGTCACAACTGAGGAGAAAATGGTCTATTGGCATCTACAGGTAGAAACCAAGGATTTTGCTAAATATCTTAGAATACAAATAGCCCCACAACAAAGAATTATCTGTCCCCAAGTGAGTATTGAGATTGAGGAACTGTGATCTAAAGACACTATTAAAAATAAAAAGACAGCCATGGCTGGTTTGGCTCAGTGGTTAGAGTGTCAGCCCACGGACCAGAGAGTCCTGGGTTCGGTTCCCTCTAAGCCATGTACTTCAGTTGCAGTTTGCCCCCGGCCCTGGTTGGGGTCATGTGGGTGGCAAGCACTTGATGTGTCTCTCTCACGTGGATGTTTCTCTCTCTCATCCTCCCTCTCTCCCTCCTGCTCCATCTGAAGATGAATGCAAAAATGTCCTCGGGTGAGGATAAAAAAATAAAATAAAATAAAATAAAATAAAATAAAATAAAATAAAATAAAATAAAATAAAATAAAATAAAATAAAATAAAAAGACAAAACATATGTTGGGATAAAATTTTTGCAATACATATAACCAAAAGAACAAAAACACAGTAACTAGAAGTTATAAAGTATTCCTACAAATCAATTAGAAAGACAGACAAGTAGAAAAATGGTTAAACATGAACAAGCATTTCACTGAAGAGAAAACACATATAGCCAAAACATGCATATTCATGTTATTAACCAGGGAAGTTAAAAATGAGACTAAAATGAGATATCATTTATATCCTCCAAATGGACAAAAATGAACAAATAAGACAAGATGTACTATAGAAATCTGGATTAAAAAGAACACTTGTATACTGCATATATCCAAACTAAAAGAAATAAGAGAATGTCAAGCAGGTAACAGAACACCTGAGAATTTTGAGACAATATCAAACAGATGGACATACATGGAAGTATAGTCGCAAGAAAAACGAGACCACCCCACTTAAGAAAAAGAACTTTGCCAAGATGCCTAGAAAGGCTTCCATGTGCTTCTTTCCAATTACAAACTCCCCAATCCCCATAGAGTAACTATATCTTGAATTCCATAATAATCACTTTTTTGCTTTCTTAGAAAGGGTTTGTCATCAGGACTTACTTTGAGATCATATTTGAATGAGGTAGTGTAAGATTTACATCAAGTTTCATTATTTTGCATATGGACATCCAATTGTTCCAGTACCAGTTAAGAAAACTTTGTTGTTCAATGAATTGCTTTTGTACTTCTAGCAAAAATAAAATGACCATATTTGTGTATTTATATCTGCAATCTCTACCCTGTTCCACTGAGCTACATATCTATCCATTTACCAATCCCGCGATCTTAATAAGTTTCATAGTAAATTTTAAAATGGAGTAGTGTAATTTCTCCAATTTTATTCTTCTTTATGAAAATTGTTTTGGCTATTCCTTTGCCTTCTCTATAAAAGATAGAATCTGCTTGTCTATATCTATAAAATCTTGCTATTTTGATTGGAATAACAAATCTATATATCAATTTGATTGGAATAACAAATCTAAATATCAATAATTAGCATCTTTACTGTGTTGAGTCTTCCAATCTAATTCTTTTCATCAAGATTTGTAGTTTTCAGCATCTGAGTCCTCTATATTTTATAGATTTGTACCAAAGTATTTTATTTTCCTGGAACTCACAGTTTTTCTATTGACAATGTTTCTTGCATCCCACATTTTAATTCTGAGTCCCCTTCCTGCTCAAGTGCATCTTGCAGTATTCTTCCAGTGAAGTGCAGGACTAGGCAGGTAACCCCTTAGTTCTTTCATCTTTAAAATGCCTTAGTTCTACCAGCAAACACTTTATACAACAGTGAACCTGATTCTAGAAATCTAGGGTGAACATTATTTTCACTAAGAATCTTCAAAATACTCTACTGCCATTTGCATCTAATGCTATTTAGTAAGAAGTCTGTTGACAGTATAGATGACATTTCTTCCTCTTTAGAACAATATTAGTATAGCCTCCTGGCAACTTCAATTTTTTTAAATTCTGTTGTCCCTCTGTTATACTGTACAATGTGGAAATGTCTCAGTACTATTTTTGAATTCACTAATTTAGTCTTCAGTAGTGTCCAGTCTGTAACTAATTCTATCTATTGTATTCTTTATTGAAAGTAACTTTTTTCATTTATGTATAATTGATTCTTTTTCATATTTATCTGTTCTTGGTTCATTTAAACCTGTTTTAATTTAAATTATTTCTTGATCATTTTTAATGACCATATAACCTCCTTTTATGTTTTGAGGCTTTGCCAGAATCTTCTAGCTAGAATGAGTTCACTTTCTAAAAACTGATTTTATTAGCAGCTTTGGTAGCATTAAATCTCATCATAAGTTTTAGAATTTTGGTTTGTAGGCTTAATTTTACTCTTTTACTTCTTCGTCTGTCTCTTTCTCTCTCTCTGCATATTTATTCTCCCTCTTGTGTTTGGTTTAGGGGATACCTCTATTCTGCCCTCACAGGTTCTCAATCTAGAGCTAGGACATAAAACAACATTTTGGAGTAATTATTCTGTGGCAATATTAGGGATGTGGTTATCAGTACCATTTGCAAGGAGAAGTCTGTGTTTCTCCTTTGTCAGTACATGAACTAGAACCCCAGGGGCACTATGGAAGTGTGGGAGTAGGTGGGAGTGAAGGGGGGCGGTGGTTTCACCCTTCTTTCATGAGTAAGTGAAAATAAACTCATTCCTTGGCTTAACATAAACAGGGGTGGGCAAAAGTAGAGTTACAATTATAAGTACACAAAACATAGATTTTATTCTTGCATTATAATTTATTAATTATTGTATAATTTTCCATACAAACAACTATAAGCCTACTTTTGCCCACCCCTGTAGTAAAGCTGGCCAGTTACCTGTCTTACATGGAGCGCTTTTAGCCCATTTTATATTGCAGGTGCTAAATACACCTGACACACTGTCATTGCCTAACTGGGAGGCTTGCAAGATTACAGGCTTATGATTCTTTCTCTTTTTATCCATGGCAACTTTTTTTTTTATCCTCACCCGAGACATTTTTCCATTTTTTGTTCAGATAGATTGGGAGGGAGGGAGAGAGAGAGAGAGAGAAACATTGACGTGAGAGGGACATATTGACTGGTTGCCACCCGCACGACTCAACCAGGGCTAGGGACAAACTGCAACCGAGGTATGTGCCCTTAGTGGGAACTGAACGCAGGTCTCTCTGGACCTCAGGCTGATGCTCTAACCGCTGAGCCAAACTGGCCAGGGCTCCGTGGCAACTTTTATCTCGTATTTGAGATCAACTTTTATAATGTATTCATTATTGCTATGCTTTTGGAACAGAGAGCAAACCTTTCATGCATCAATATTTTATTCATGGCCAATTTTTGTACTTAACTGAAAAATAATACTTCTACAGAGTCCAAGTTTTTGTTATCTTGAGAATGCTAACATGCAATAATCTACAGAGGATATAATGCATAAATCTTCCCAGGAGAGGGGCATAATTACCTTTCCCTCAACTTCACTCAAACAACAGAGATGCGCATTTAAAAGCCTGTATTACCTTAATGAATTCGACTGAAGTTTTTATTTTTTTTATTGTATAAACATTTGCTAACAAAGGCACCATGATAGTCAAAGAATTTCATCTTCTCCCAGATGAAATCTCTCATGGTTAATCAAGCAAAAACTTTGAAATCATACATACGGATAAATGGCTTCTTGAATGTTTCCAAAGATCTGTTTCCCGGTCATTATGATGGTCAACTGGGTTGTCAATTCTATTAGACAGCCTGCAGGGTCACACTAGTCAGAAGCAAGGAGTGAAAAAAAAAAAAGGTGAATGATGGCAGATGGAACATTTGCAACAAAAGAAACCCTACACCAGAAGATGGGAACCTGAAGATGTGGGGTGAACTGGACACTGGAGGGATATATAGGGGTATTGGGCTCAGCAGTCCAAGCCTGACCACAGACCAGTGCAGCATAGCTGTGTCCGTGTCGGCGGCGGAATGTGTTTAAGAAAGATTTCTGGGTCTCATCCTTAGAAAATTCTGCATCTTTATGTCTGAAAGTGGTTCTCTTCTCCATGTGACCTGGGTGCACAGCCAGGTTTCAGAACCACTGATCTGGCCTAACTCTTACCCGCGGTGGAGCCCTTTCTGCTATACTTAGAGACAGCTTTCATCCTTCCCTTGCACGAAGCCTTCAGGAACACAGAGCTCACTCACTCCACTTCACAGCTAATATTTTGCAATGAATAATAAGCACAGAATAACTTCTTGCCCAAAAGGAACGGGGATGTCTATCAGATGGCAGAATTCTAAGATCAACATTCTCTGTTGACAGAGTCAGTGTCTTACACTTCTCTTGCAACGTGAATAAATCGGAGTTTGTGCTGGGCACAAAAATGGTATTTAGTTCACACCGAGTTACTGAAAACACAAACCTCACCTCTCAAGAGAGTTCTTACCTCTTCACTTCTCCACACATTAAACAAATACGTGTACTTTCCAGGATAGCCCACAAACTTCCCTTTAAAGAAAGCTACGTAGAAGCAGGACGAGTAAAAATTTACAAACTGAAACAGGAACATTTTCAAGGTCAGACTGCTTTCATACTCCTGGTAAGTTCGAGGAATTTCTGGTAAGTAAAAAACACCAAGGTTTAATGATGCACCTTCCCCTTCTTTAAGTTTCCCTGGGACAAGTGGATTTCTAGCCATGTGTTTCGGAGAGCCTGTTAAAATGTGTCCCACTCTGGTCATAACAGACCAATATTAAGTTAACTACAGATTTGTGCTAGGCTTTCTACTAGAGACTTTGTATGACTCGAACCACTGGAGAAGCCTAGGAGCGGTCAGCAGTACATTTACGTGCCACAGTCAGAGTATGGAATTCGCACCCATACCAGACTGGAGAGCCTTGTGCCTATACCCCCACACTGTATCATATTCTGTAAACATATCAGACCTCTCTCTCTCTCTCTCTCTCTCTCTCTCTCTCTCTCTCTCTCTCTCTCTCTCTCTCCAATCAGGTTTAAACAAAGAAAACTTATATTAAGGGCAGAGGATAATGTACAAACCAAACTGTATTGTTGTCTCATGAATTAAATGGTTGTGCAAATTTTTAAATCATGTCACACAAATGGGGGCAGTAATAGTACACATTTTCCTTCTCCTTATCATGCTCTATTATTTAATGAATTTCAAAGATAAAAAATATTCCAGTCCGGCCAGTGTGGCTCAGTGGTTGAGCGTCGACCCATGCACCAAGAGGTTGCCAGTTAGATTCCCGGCCAGGGCACATGCCCAGGTTGTGAGCCTGATCCCCAGTGAGGGGCATGCAGGAGGCGGCCAGTTGATGTTCTCTCTCATCAATGTTTCTATCTCTTTCTCCCTCTCACTTCCTCTCTCTCTAAAATCAATAAAGGAAAAAAAAGAAAGTATTTGATTCTCTTCACATCACAGTAAAGCATCATGATCTCCCAATCCAACCAAATCTATACCTTTTTCAGTGATGCTGAAATACACATATTATTCTAAAGACACAGATAACACCTCCAATTTAATAAAACTTAGTCGCATTCTTACAAAATCACAAAAGTGAATAAAAGTGATTTTTCTCATAGAAGAAAGCTGCACCTTTTTAAGTACTTCACTTTTAGGTGTTACCTATGATGTTTTTGTTGCTGCTGGCAGGAAAATAGAAGTAACATTGAGGAAAGAACTCCAGATTGGAGAATCACGTTTAATGCAAGTTGCTGCCCAGTGCTTACTCCGGTGCTGGGTGAGAGGTGCCCTTTTGGGTGACACGGGGCGTGTCAGGGGGCAGGCTCAGAGGAGGAGCTCCCGGACTGAGCGCGCTCAGAGACGGAGCTGGGGCCGTGAGCTGGGTCTCTGATCTACTTCAAACTTGCTGGACGCAAGACCAGAAGCAACTCTGCTCTGTGCTACTCTCCCTGGCTCAGTCTCCCACTTCACCTGGGACCCCTTCACCTTCCCTCATGGCTCTAGAACTTACCATATCTGAAACAGAAAATAATCTATGTTCTAAGACTCTACAACTGGAAAGAGAGGCACTAAATCTGAAATGTATTAAGGAGAAGCTGATAGCTCTGTTTTTCTCATGGCGTCTTTTCAAAACCAAATACCTTCTTAAGACCATATACATAAAATAAAAACTATCTGTGCCTTGAGAAAAGTAAGGATTGTACTTAGGATTCTGCCAGCCCCATCAAGGGACGATTAAGGTAAGAATACACAATAAGATCTACAGAGTCCTAATTCTTCTTTTTTGTTCTTCCTCCTGTTTCCTTCACTATGGCCTGCATGTAGCTTTTAGGGGGTTCAAAAGTACCAGGATACGGGTCTACCTAAAGAGAAAAACTGCCTTAAAATGTACCTTTTAAATATTAACTCCCTGAGCGGTGACCCCAAAATGGATGTGTAGCATTGGTAGGAACCTTTTCTCAGAGTCGTAGGCATGGTTTGGTCAGCTTACCCATCTTTGTAATCCAGGCAGATATCTTTTCATAAAAGAAATTCAAGATCAAGATGACAATGAAGTTCAAGCATGATCCAGAGAGTGCTGTGGTTATCTGTGGAGTGAGGAAACTTTTGACCTGCTTTAAGGATGCGTCACTTTCCACGAAGCTGGCAAAGGTAGCAAAGACTGACAAGCGGTATACAATCACAGCTACCATGCACGCAATGACAAGAGCCATCTGTGGGAGGAAAACACAGAGATGGTCACGCTGGTCCTCGTATCTCTATGCTGCATACGTATCTGAAACATACTGTTCTCTCCATCTCATTATATACGTTTAGCAGCTCTGATATGGAAAGAAAAACATCAGTCTCCCTCTCTACCGATGGCAGGTTATCTCTGAACCTTTAAGACTGGTAAGGTTAAAGGGTTAGAGATAAGGCATATGGTAACAGCTGGGTGAGTCTAAAATAGAAAAGTATTCATGGCCCATATTCTAGCAAGAGTTAAGGAAACTAGCCAGAAGGCCAAATCCTGCCTGTGGTCTTACTGGTTCTGCATGGCCCTCGAGTTAAAAATGTGTTTTGCATTTTTCAAGGTTGTAAAGAAAAATAGAGAGGATTATGTACCAGAGATTATTTGTGGCCCAGAAATTCTAAAATACATTTGGCATCTTTACAAAAATTGTTTGCTAACCTCTGCTCTAGATTGTAGTTAAACATGTAGCATAAACATGAATTACTTCTCCAGGAAAAATACATTTAAAGATTGCATTTTATTTCTCCTCCTAATGTTGCCATTAGTGGCCTGATATGCCTGACAGTTTAGATATTTATATCAATTTTGCATACTTTCCATACTGCAAAAACACAAAGATCTAGGGATGGCTTTATATCAATGATTGGAGAATTTTATTCTGAAAGTCGAGGAACTGAATCAAATTGAATAAATACTATAAATAAAAGATAGAATAATCTTTATGGAACCACTCCAGAATATTTCTCAAGAAGTGTCCCAAATTGATTGTCTTCCCCTTTATGCTATCCTCTTTCTTTAATAGGTTTATGTCATCTAAGAAAATGCATATTTAAAATAGAAAAATCAATACTTTTTTTTTTTTTTTCCTCACCCAAGGCCATTTTTGCATTTATCTTCAGATAGAGTGGGAGGGAGAGAGGGAGAAAGAGAGAGAGAGAAGCATCGATGTGAGAGAGACGCACTGAGTGGTTGCCACCCACACTACCCCAACTGGGGCAGGGGACAAACTGCAACCACGGTACATGCCCTTAGCGGGAACCGAACCTGGGTCTCTCTGGTCCAGTGGTCAACACTCTAACCACTGAGCAAAACCAGCCAGGGTGAAATATCAATACTTTTAACAAGAAATGTTAAAGATAAGAAATTATGGGACAATATGGACTGGTGCAGTTAAGCTATAGTCTATAATTACTAATTTTTTAATATTTCAACATACTTTTCCTAAAGGTCAAGTCCAGCTGCGGGAGGGCACACATTTGGGAAAGGAGGGCGGGAAACGGACTAGCTGACCGAGTACTCTATTCGTTAAAAGCCATGGAAGAAACCTGGCTCCCTCGGAGTGGGACATAATAATTAAACTCAAGTAGATAAAATGATGTTTTTTCTCCTGTTTACCTAGACAAGAAAATACACTTTAATAGTATAAGGTGGTTTTTTTTCTCTTTGTGCAGATATTTTAAGTGGAGATAAAGGGAAATGATTTAAAAAACTAACCAAATAACCTGCAAATTGTTTTAAGCTCTTCTGGCTCCAAGTTCTCACCTAATGAATGAAAAGTTGGCAGAGGGAGTGACAGGCTCTAAGATAAGCACCCCTCTCTCACCCCAGCCATTTTTCCAAGGTTCGACTATGGTGGTCCATGCTAATTATAGTTTATTTTATATAAGGGCTCAGTTCGAGATAAAAAGACTGGGGAGGGAACAGGAAGGAAGGGACTGAATAGCCATTTGAGATAAAACTGTTGAGATAATCCTAAGACGACTGCATGTCCGAGAGATAACAGTTTTTTAAAATGCTCACCCATAATGTCACTGTGGCTCCAGATAAAAAGTACCATGGAATCCGGCTTTGTAGAGGCATATAAGGTTCCATCTCCTGTAATTTGGAAGAAATCACAGGAAAATTAAAAATCTACTTTCAATGTTGGGACTCTGAGCAGTAGTCAAAACTGCCAAGCCCAGTTCAACTAGAAACCTCCCCAAAGCCTGCACTGCAGCTCAGGGAAGGCTCCATTCTGGTGCTAGCTCCTTCCCTTTAGGGAGAACACCCCAGGGCTTTTAGCTGAGATAGTTCACACATGGTATGAGACAAAATGGGTACACGTAATTTCCTGAATGTTGGACTAGAGTGGTATTCAACTAGATAGGAAATGGAGCAAAAATCTGAGGGTGGTTGCTTTAGGAGACGTGCTTTAATGATGTTATAATTTCATTCTAACTCAGTTGAATAGAGTTGAATTGCATTTCTCTGTAATCGCTCTGCACGATATTAGATAGGATGCTTTCTTTATATTTGTAGGATTAATTGTGTTCTTTCACACAGTTCAGGGGCCCAGACTTTTCCATTTTCACGATTTTTAAGTCACTAATGGAAAATATTAATTATATCGACTGATATTCTTAGCTGCATAAAGAGTTAGACTTTGCCTGAAAGAATACTGCCACACAGTAAAAAAAAAAAATAGCTACAAGCAGAAATCTGCATTATATAATTCTATCTAAAATATAAGATTTTACATCTTGTGAATTTTTCAGAGCAGACTGAGTGGAAACAGAACTCAACAGGTAGAGTACGCTGTCTGAGAGCTCTATCGAATCCCAGGATGGGTGCATATGTGTACATGTGTGCATATAATGTGTGTTCTTGTGTGTGTGTGCAAGTGTGTGCGTGTCCAAATATGGATATGTATGTTTCCAAAATGGACTCAAATGTGAGAGTTTTGGTTGCAGTTAAGCACGAATGATGCACTGCAAGTAAGTAAAAAAACTCTTGATTTCAAAACAATTACGGCTAAGTGGATGACTCACAGTGAACCAATACAAACTGTTATTTCCAACTGGTTTGAAAAGTAATCCTTCAGTACGTGTGGTTTTCACGTCAATAATGTTTGGCAAAGCCAAAAGGCCTGTTTTTATTTTCTATTTCATCCCATGAAATATAAATAGATAGACATCATGTCATTATCACAACAACATCTCTTTTAATATAATTTTGTAATTTCAAACTGTTAATTTCACCCAAGTTGTTAATGCATTTTCTCAGGTGTTTTCCCCCTTTTATTCATTTTCTGAACTTTGTAATGTTTCAATGCAATTTAATAAGTGTTAAATGAATGCTTAAACTGTGTAAAAAATTTTGAGTATTATACTGCAAGAATACTGTACTGAACAGAGTAGGGGATTCTACTGAAGAGACTGTGTTGGAAACATAGTCTACTCTCCCTTTAATAGCATCTGGTAATAAAGTGATAACGAATTATGGAAATGTAGGGACTCTAAGAATAAGCAGCCAAAACTCTGGTGTTTGATGGCAAACTACCTTCCACTTTCACATGAGAAAAACTGAGGTACCAAGAAGTCAAATCACTCAGTCAACATATAGCGATTAAGGATCCCAAAATATAGCCTTTCACCCTGGACAGCAGTGCAGTGATCTTTGCACTATAATCAATTAAAAGGGACTATTTGAATAAAATTTGATCTAATAAAATAATCACTCATAAGCCCACTATCTTAATACCAATTTAATTTTTTGCATATTAACTTCATTTCCATGTATATATATTTATATACATATTTAAAGCACAGAGCATACACACTATTTTTCATTTTTCTTTTATTTCATTTGGTATTAAAAATAATGTCTTTTATGATATGATGCCTTGGATTTATTTAAAAATAATCGAATGACTAAAAGGAGTAGGTACATAAATAAAATAAGATTGTCCATGAATTAATATTAGTGGAAGCTGGCTGATGGGTCCATCATATTTTTCTACTTTTGTATATGTTTGAAATATATCATGAAAGTAAGTAAAGAAGTTAATATGATTTATATGTTGGAGAATATCTTAAAGGCGAATTACAACATACATCATCATTTAAGAGAAAAACTACATCAGCGAGTCCATAGAGATATAATGCCCACTTCAGTTTCTTAATCTACCTTAGTCACGGGATTCATTTTCCTGTGTTTACACATAGCTTCAAATTCAGGTCTCAGCTGAAGCTGCTGCTGTTCCTCCTCAAAGTCCACCAGGTCCCACTCATATTCCAGTCGGGCCTGACGCTGTTTCCAAAACTCCAAAAACAATGTGACTATAGAGAAATAAATGTATAAAAACAAATATAATCAAGGTAAATAATGTCTTTTAAAAGACATTAAAATAATGTCTTTTCTGATATGATGCCTTGAGTTTATTTCAAACTAATCTAATGATTAAAAGAAATAGATGTGTAAATAAAACAAGATTGTCCTTGAATTGATAGTAATGGAAACTGGGTGATGGGTCCAACCTGGGGTTCATTATATTTTTCTACTTTTGTATGTGTTTGAAATATATCATAAAAGTAAGTAAAGAAGTATATATGACATTAATATTTTCCTTTATTTTTATTTATTTTATTTTTTATTGAATTTATTGGGGCAACATTGATTAAAAAAATTATATAGGTTTTAGATGTACAAGTCTATAATACATTATTTGTATACTGTATTGTTTGTTCATCATTCCAAGTCAAGTAGTTTTCCTGTATTTTATTATATGTTTTTATTAATTTGAGAGAGAGAGAGAGAGAGAAATCAATGTGAGAGAGAAACACTGATTGGTTGCTTCCGGGACGGAACCCACAACCTAGGTATGTGCCCTGACCTGGAATTGAACCCACAACCTTTAGTGTGCAGGACGATGCTCCAACCAACTGAGCCACCCATCCAGGGCCTTTATTTTCAAATATCAATTTGGTTACACAGTGGTTCTTCTGTCACTATGATTCGATGATAAAATTATTAATATTAGCATAACTATGTAATAACATTGAAATAACTCATATATAAAATATCAAGTTAATTTCTTACACAGCAGTCCGTGCAAAAAAAAAAAAAAAAAAATTCCCGTTCATTATTCTCTCTCTTCATTATGATAATTTGAAAGAATAAACTTAATTTTTTTCTAACACCTAGAGTTTTTTTTTTTTTTTGAAAAATTAAGTCTTTTATTCAATTCATTCAATCTTTTAGCAAAATTATTCAAGCATTATACCTTAGTAAAATTTAAGAAATATGTAAGAGGCATTTCACAGCACATTCTCTCTCTCTCTCTCTCTCTCTCTCTCTCTCTCTCTCAACTTCAACATTGTTTACAATAGTTATATCATGAAAACAACCTACGTGTCCATCCATGGATGACTGGATAAAGAAAGTGTGGCTTATATACGCAATGGGATATTATTTGGCCATTAAAAGAAGAAGAAAATCCTGCCATCTGTGACATGAATGGACCTGGAGGGTATTATGCTACGTGAGATAAGTCATAGAGAGAAAAAGAAATACTGTATGGTCTCATATGTGGAATCTTGGAAAAAAGAAAAAGCAAAAGCTTGGAAAAAGTATAGCTTGGTGGTTAGTGGGGGTGGGAAAAATGGGTGAAAACGGTCAAGAGGTACAAACGTCCACTTATAAGATTTGTTAAGTTCTGGGGATATAATGGTGACTATAGTTAAATATACTGTATTGTATATTCAAAAGTTAGTGAGTGGATGTTAAATGTTTTTATCACAAGAAAAATGTGTACTTATGTGAGGTGATAAATGTTAACTAAAATTATTGTAGTAATCATTTCACAATATATACATATATCAAATCATTATACTGTACACTTTAAACTAATACAATATTATGTCAATTATATCTCAATAAAACTAGGAGGGAAAAGTGGAAGTGACCTAAATGTCCAACAATAGAGAAACGATTAAAGTGTGATAAATTCATAAAAGGCAATTCAATTCAGTCATAAATACATACATATACACACATACAATCATAAACATATTCATTGATATAAAATGAATCCCATCATTCATTGTTCTTTTAAAAAGTAGCCTAAAAACTATATAATATTATAACATTTATGTTAAGTTATATGAATGCATATGCTCACACAGATACATAAGAGATTCTGAAAAATCGTGGCCAAAATAATAATTCGATTTCTGGTAATTTTAACATTATTTTCTCCCAGTTTCAATGTACTGCTTGCATTTCCTAATTTGGATATATATTTACATTATAAACAAGCCCAAAACATTTTTTTTTTTAAAAAGCATTTCTACCCTTCAGAACAAAGCATAGTATGCATTAATTGCAGGTCTCATCTCAATCCCTTGGATGAGTGTTGTTTCTTCACATCTACTCTGCCAACTCATCCTTTGATTCAGCTTAATTGTTAATTAGTATCTGTATTAAAACTAATATCCTTGAGTTTCCGTTTTCATAAAATTTGGCCAAGATCCTCAAAATTCAAAGCTAAATCAATTCACTGCTACAATGAACGTTTCTGAAAGAAATGACTGATGGTAGCACCTCCTCAAAACACAGCATTGCTGGGAATTCTACATATGGTTGCTTCTCTGTGATGCAATATAGGGCTGGTGTTGCTGCACAGTCTCTCTCAATGGAAAAACTGAAAACGACTACACAGGTTTTCATTTGTGCACCTATCATTCACTTCTGATTTCAATTAACAACAGAGGCAGGATTTGGCAGACACATAATGAAGAGAGTCTGTACACCAACTTTCCAAACTTGGAATTGCCGCAGAGTTGTTAGTAAGATTTCTCTATCCTCTGCTCTCTTTGAATCCGGGCTGCTCTCTTTAACCCACGGCAGCCAGGCAAAAGTGACAGACACATTTAAACGCCTCTTCGCATACACACTAACACATTTTGTTGTCTTTTTGCCTGGATCAAGCTACCCTTGTCCTTTGCCCAGTTTTTAAATGCACGTATTTGTGTTTGCTAAAGATTTTTTTAATTGTAATGAAAAACTTATATTTTTCCCCAGAGTCCTCTGAATTTTGGGACGTGTTTTAGAAGTCTGCAGGCCTCCACTGGCTGAGTTACTGTTTTATTATTATTATTATTATTATTGAAAGTATTACAATTTCCCCCCCCTTTCCCCCATTGACCCCTCCTTTCTGCTCCCGCCCCCACCCCTCTTCCCTTCCCCAGCCTAGTGTCCCTGTTGATTGGGTGTGCATGTATGCATATATATTCTTTGGTTCATCTCTTCCCTCCCCTGGCTCTGAGGTTTGTCAGTCTGTTCCCTACTCCCGTGATTCTGGATCCCTTTTGGTTGACAGCCTATTTTGTTCATTATGTTCCACGAAGAAGTGAGATCATGTAGTACTTGTCTTTCTCTGAATGGCTTATTTCGCTTAGCATAATACTCTCCAGGTCCCTCCATGTCATCTCAAAGGGTAAGAGATCTCTCTTTCTTATAGTTGCATAGTATTCCATTGTGTATCTGTACCACAGCTTTTTCAACTACTCATCTACAGATGGGCAGTTGGGCTGTTTCTAGATCTTAGCTATTGTAAATAGCGCTGCTATAAACATAGGGGGTGTGTGTATATTATTTCTGATTGGTGTTTCAGGCTTCTTAGGATATATTCTAAGAAGTGGGATCACTGGGTCAAATGGCAGTTCCATTGTTAATTTTTTGAGGAAACACCATATTGTTTTCCATAGTGGCTACACCCATCTGAATTCTAAACAGCAGTGTGCTAGAGTCCCCTTTCTCCACACCCTTGCCAGCATTTGTTGTTTGAGGATTTGCTGATGCCTACCATTCAGGCAGGAGTGAGGTGATATCTCATAGTCGTTTTAATTTGCATCTCTCTGATGATTAGAGATGATGAGCATTTTTTCATATGACTCCTGGCTATTTGTATGGTCTGTTTGGAGAAGTCTATTCAGGTCCTCCACCCATTTTTAATTGGATTGTTTGTCTTCCTTTTGTTGAGTTGTATGAGTACTGTATATATTTTGGATATTAACCCCTTAGCCGATGTATCATTGGCAAACCCAGAGACTAGGTTCCCTTTTCATTTTGATGCTGGTTTCTTTTGCCATGCAGAAGCTTTTAAGTTTGATGTAGTCCCATTTATTAGTTTTTCCCTTTGTTTCTCTTGCCCTAGGTGATATACCAGTGAAAATTCCACTACATATGTCTGAGATTCTTCTGCCTGATTTTTATGATTTCACGGGTTACATTTAAGTCTTTTATCCATTTTGAGTTTATTCTTGTGTATGGTGTAAGTAGTGGTCTAGTTTCTTTTTTTTTTTTTTTTTTTTTGCATGTAGCTGTTCAATTTTCCCAACACCATTTTTTGAAGAGACTGTCTTTTCTCCATTTTATGCCCCTGCCTCTTTTGTTGAATATTAATTGTGCATACTGTCTTGGGTCACTATCTGGGTTCTCTATTATCTTCCAGTGATCTGTATGTCTGTTCTTCTGCCAATACCAGGCTGTTTTGATTGCAATGGCTTTGTAGTATAACTTGATATCTGGTATTGTAAACCCTTCCACTTAGTTTTTCTTTTTCAAAATTGCTGTGGCTATTCAGAGTCTTATATAGTTCCATATAAACTTTTGGAGTGTTTGTTCTAGACCTGTGAAATATGCTGTTGGTACTTTTATAGGGATTGCATTGAATCTGAAGATTGCTTTGGGTAATACAAACATTTTAATGATGTTGATTTTTCCAATCTACAAACAATGTATATGCTTCCACTTTTTTTATATCTTCCTCTATTTCTTTTTTCAATGTGCTATAGTTTTCTGAGAACAGGTCTTTTACCTCCTTGGATAAGTTTATTCCTAGGTATATTATTTTATTTAATTTTTTTGCAATGGTAAATGGGATTTTTGTTTGTTTCTTTCTTTCCCTTTCGGAGTGTTCATTATTGGTGCATAAGAATGCAATTGATTTGGGGATGTTAATTTTGTATCCTGCTACTTTGACAAATTCATTGATTAAATTTAGTAGATTTCTAATGAAATCTTTAATCTTTTCTTTAAGGTTTTCTATGTACAATATCATGTCATCGGTGAATAATGACAGTTTCACTTCCTCCTTTCCAATTTGGATCCTTTTTTTTTTTTAATTTATATTTTTATCCTCACCTTAGGACATTTTTCCATTTTTTTGTTCAGACAGAGTGGGAGAGAGAGAGAGGAAGAGAAAGAGAAAGAGAGAGAAACATTGACGTGAAAGGGACACATCGAGTAGCTGCCACCCGCACGACCCAACCAGGGC